GAGGATATAAGAGCAAGGGAGATCATGTAGTACAATAATTGGAGGGAAGGATGGGAACGAATATGCAAGTACAAAATGAGTCATTTGACTGTGCTATTGGCTTAAACAGGAACATTATAATTGACGCTATGAACATGTATTAGGACAGAGTAATATTACATGAATATATATGTATACATAAAATATATCCATAAAACACTTGAACATTTATAATATTCTTGAGATTTCGCGACTTTCGCGACAACCATTGTTTAATGACAAATAGTGTAATTTGTAGTAATTAAACCATTGCTGGCTTAGTATATTTCTGTATATTATGGTGTACCTTTCATATTTCTCATTGTTATATGTAGATTTTAAAGCATTTCAAAGTTTTCTTATACTTAAAGAAATTGTAGGATAATCTATGTAATGTATAGAAAAGTATTAGCTATGTAAACTTATTCAATTATTTCTACTTCAACGCCAATTTATTGAACGTGAAACACTTCATTGTCTCACTACTGTCTAAATGTCATTAGTTTCGCTGTAATGTATATATTTCTAGCATAAAATTATTCAAAAGCTTAGTCCATTTCGGTGGCTTTTTTCTCTTTTTCAAACTCTTAAATAATTTCACTCCATAAATTCTAACTCTTTCATTTCTTCTGCAATCATCTCAATTTTCCCGATGTTATCGGAAAAATTGAGATGATTACGGAAGAGATGAAAGAGTTAGAATTTAGAATTTCATTTATTAAAATTCTAAAATCTTTAGTTCTATTTATTCTGTTTCTTAACTGCAATTATGGTTAAATCGCAAAGCTTCCAGGAATCAAAAAATGACTATTACGATATATATCTCTGCGTTCAAAATTTTTGATGCAAGACATGTGAAAGGTTTTGTGGATGATATAAAACGACAAATGCAACTTAATAGTTGGTATACGTGTACTGCAAGCGTAGTAATACGTTATTCCAAAATGTAATTCGAAAGATCAACTCACTTTAGCAGAGCTGTAGCAAAAGATCAATTCACTTTTGCAGAAAGAGACAATTACTTCTATGTCTGTGCATACATGTTGTAGAGTGTTTATGAAACCACTTAGAGTCCGCATAGGCTGTGGAACATAATGGCAGTGGGGAACATGTCTGCGAGCCCCGCGCTAAATTGGGGTTCGCAAGTGTTGGCGATGATTGATAAGACATTAACTTCGCGGTTTCCACTCGAGATGCGTCCATGTGGGTTCAATTCCTTGGATGTCTGAGCCAACTTCGTTGTGTTGTATTCTAGCGCAACC